CAGGCCCCTCTCCCAGCCCCTGGACCGCATGGTCTTGGAGCCCCTCCTGTGCTCACCTGCCTCCCAGTTGGGGCTTCAGGTGGAAACTCAGCCTCCTCATCGGTCTCATGGACGACCTCCTCCCACTGCCACACGCCACACAGAGGGTTGGAGAGATCTGTAGTTGCCACTTCTTGTTTCTGGGAGAAAAGAAGTTGTTTCTGAGGCCAGGAAGAATCAGATTAAGGCAGAAGACAAGTCAGAGGTGGGATGGAAATGGGCTGAGGTGTGGCGATGGGAGGTGGGAGTGAGCTGGTGTGAGGCTGGGTTGGGGAGTCGATGGGGGCAATACCTGGGAAGGGTTTGGTGCCTGGACCAAGGAATGGGTTTCAGATGAGGTTAAGGACTGAGATAGTCCTGGGGGAACTGGGGTGGGGTGAGAGTCAGGGTTGGGTCAGAGTTGTGGCTGCTGGTGGGTTGGAGTATTTTGGGGGTGTCAGGCCCACCTGCCAAATGGCCTGGATCTCCACACCCAGCGATGGTGGCAGCAGCCCGGTCCAGTCCACTCTTCCCACCTGAGCCACTTCAGGCAGCCTGGCCACACAGTCAGGAGGGGGAAGGCTGTCTCTGTGCCTGCCCACCACCTGTCAGTCAGCCTATGCTGGGGTTGCTACCCAGTCCACCTTGTGTCTGGAGGCTGGGGGTCCCTGTCCTTGGGCTCCCCTCCGGCCTCCTCCACCCTCAACATTCCACTCACTCAACCAGCCCCTCGTGGGTCTGACTCAGCTGCTCCTCCAGGTGTGAGATTTCCAGCTTCAGTTCCTGCAGAGGAAGGAGTGAGGGACCCCTGGCTCTCTGTTTTCCTTCATCGCCCACCCCTGGTCTCCTCTTCCAAGGTCAGTTCCACTCCTCTGACTTCTTTGGGCTCTTCCAAACACACATTGCCAAGGGAGAAGGGGAAGAAAGCAGTGACAGAAACTTAGGAAGCCAAAGAGAGTCAAAGAGCAACAGGAACCTTGAAGGTAACTTACCAGCCAGGGAAACTAGAAAAAGGAAGCCAGAGATGGAAACACAATGAACAAGGAGAGACACAGAGAGGCAAGAGAACACAAGGAGAGTAAGAGACTCTAAAGACAAGGGACAGAGAGAGGAACTGCCCCAGAAGACAGACTAGACGCAGGGAGAGGCAGAGAGAAGAACCTAAACAAGCCAGGCAGAGACACAGAAATATGAGGGGAAAAAAGGAAACATAAGGAAGACACAGAGAATAAAAGTAGATGGAAGATGGAAATAGAGTGAGAGAAAGAAAGGAAGGAATAGAGAAAAAGTCAAAAGGCAGAGAGACAGGAGAGACACACAGTCAAACGGTAGAGATGGTAGAAACAAGATGTGGAGACTCAGAAAAAGATAGACAGAGACAGAAAGAGGCAGCAAATCCCAGAGATGGCAAAAGAGCAGTGGGGAGAGTGGGGCCAGGCTGGTGGGTTACCTGGGTTGCGGTTTTGTACTCCTCCAGGGTCTTGGCCAGACTCTCCATGTGCCGAGTGCGCTGGGAAAGCCCAAAGCTGACTGAGACTCGGCTCAATCCACCCAAGACACTGAGGGCAGTGGTGGGGGTGGGCAGGGTGTGCTTGGGGGAAGAGCTAGGGCCTGAGGGAGAGCACTAGTTTCCCGGGAAACCCAACTCCTCCAGGCTGCTTATCCAAGGATTAGAGCCAGGCAGGACTTCCCTTTCCAGATTCAGGGCAGGAGACACATAGAAGGCAAATGTTAATCCCCAAGACCCCTCACCTCGGAGAGGATGGTGTCTCGTTGGCAAATGAGGCGTTCACACTCGTAGAGCTGCCGCTGCCGGAGGAAGGAGCCCGTCCATCTGTCTGGCCTGTCCTCCCCTCCCATCTCGCTCTCCCGCCCCCTCCTCTACCTCCCTCCATGTCTCTGGACATCAGCTACACTGAGGGGATTTCAGCAGAGCTGCCCACTGGCCCTGGGAATCTGATGGCTTGATGAAAGTCCCTGACCTCACCACGTCACAGGGGCTGAAACTGGTGAGGTAAAAATGGCCTCAGGGGTGATGGGAAGTTGTCAAGGCACTAGGGAGGGGTAGCACCTTCAAGGCATCCTTCTCTATGGCCAGCTCCTCACTCCTCTTCTTCACTCCATCCCGCTCTGCCAGCAGCTTCCCGTTCTGGAAGAAGGGACCCCGGTCATGTTCACTTCAGCAAATGGTCATGATATATATATATATATATATATATATATATATACCATACACACACACATACATATACACACACACACAAAATAATACAAATATCTTTTATATAATGGTCACTCATAGCTGACCATTTGCTGAACACCTGATGTGCATCGGGCCTCATGCTCAGCATTTTATATGTTTTAGCCCATTTAATCCCTCCAACCATCCTATGGGATCTCAGCTTTGATTTGCAGATGGAGTGGGTCCTCCATCTGCAAAAATGGAGATAAGATGTGAGGATTAAATGAGCTAATAATTATTGCTAACATTTACCAAGCACCTTGCCAGTGTTAACTCATTTCTTATGCCCTATTTTAAAGATAAAAGACAACTGAGGCACAGAAAGGTTGAGCAACTTGTCCCAGGTTACACAGGTGGGAAGGAATTCATGCAAATACACGTTAACATACGTTAATGACCACAAAGCATTTAGAACAGTACCTGGCATAAACCAAATGTTCAGTAAAGGTTACATTAAACATATTTCTAAAACTTTGTATTATGAATTTTAAACCACCAAAAGTAAAAATAACAGTATGAGGAACCCCCTTTACCCATCATCACCCAGCTTCAATAAATATATACATTTTCCCTGTTTGTTTCTTCTCTAACTGCCAGGTTTTTTTGTTTGGTTTTGTTTAACCAGATTATTTCAAAGCAAACCCCAGGCATCATATAATTTCACCTGTTACTACTCCAGCATTTATATTCCCTACTAGAGAATTTTTCTTTAGCAAAACCACAATGCCATTATCAAGCTTAACAAAATTAATAGTAATTCCTCAGGATCATTGCACAAAGAGTGCTCTTTCTTGGTTTTCATTGCCTCACAAGTGTCTTTTCACATAAAGATACAAACAAGGTCCACCATGGCTTTTGGTTGAAATGTCTCACTTCTTTCCATCCGACAGTGATCCCCTACCTTCCCAATCCTAGCACTTTTTTGGGCACTTCATTTGTGGAAGAAACCAGGTTATTTCCTGTAGAATTGGTACATTTGGATTTGGTTTACTGTGTTCTCATTTCCTGTGTAGGATGTTAACCATGTTCCTCCTGCCTTATTATTTCCTATAACTTGTGGATAGATCCAGGGCCTTGTCCAGACTCTTGTTCAATTTTTTGGCAAGAGTTCATAGGTGCTGCTATACACGTCACATTGTGCATTCAGGAAGAATGTAAATTCTGGCTGTCCCAACTATGAATGTTTACACTGTCATCCCCAATTTTACAGAGGAAATTGTGCAGTGGAGGGGCTAAGAAACTTAGCCAAGGTCATACGGAGAGTAAGTGGACTCAAACCCAAACCTGATTCTAAATCCTGCACTTTTAACTCCCAATCTCTCCTCTGAAGCAGACTCAGCCCTGAATGAGAACAGAGAACCAGCTTTGTCCTTCGCCTCAAGTTGCTCATCACTAGAGGTGGAGACTGACACAGAAGCAAATATTAACAAGGTTGAAGAAGGTTCTGAAGAGGCCTAGGGCCTGGGTCCTGTGGGAGCCCAGGTGAGGGGCTTTGCAAGAAGGCAGTACTGGGGCTGAGTCCTCAGAGCTGAGGAGAGTTATCTGGGAAAACAAGGGGGCCAGGAGAGGGCAGCCCACGCCAGCCACAGAATGCGGCCCTGAAAATAAAATCGACCAAATTCCAGTCTAGAGTTTCCAGGCACCAAAAACCTAGCGAGTTGCCCTGAGTTTCAAAGTGAGGCGGTCACTGGGGGAAAGCATTTCGGAGCACGGAGGCAGTCTGACTCCCCTTTGCCACACCCCTCCTCCCAGTGCCCCTGGGGATACCAAGTCCAGCTCCTCCCTCTCTCCAGCCCGGCTCAGCTCCAAGTCCTCCATCACCTGCCCTCCCTCCCTCTCAGTCTCAGCGGGCCTGGGCTGCCAGGTGAAGGGCGGAGGAAGGACGGGCCAGGAATGCTGTGTCAACATCTGTCCACCTGGTTGGGATTTGCAGGCTGGATCCTGGGCCTCTCGGCAGGGAATCTGGTTACTCAGCCACTCCTGCCTTCTTCTGCAGTAACCTGAGCCCCGCTCTGTAGGTTCTTGTAGGAAAGCTGAGTGTCTGAGTGTCCCTTACTCCTGCATTATTCCACTGTAACTTGAGAACTCAATCTATAGATGCTCTGTAGGCAGCTGCCGGGAGGGGGAGGGAACCAAGAATAGCTTGTTTATCGAGCGCCTATGATGTCCCAGGCGCTGCTCAAGGCACTTGCCCTGGCAGCAGGCCCTCTGGACCAGGAGGAGGCAGAGACCGCTGGCTGCCATTCACCCTGCTTATTCCTTCTCCTGCTTTCACTGGGGGCTCACTCTCCACGTGGGCATAGGGGTCCCAGCCCCAGCCCTGGAGGTGAAATCAAGATGGAAATCTAGGCAGATTCAGGACACCAGGCTGGTTAGCTAATCCAGCAGCCATTCTCACCCCGCCCTCACTCATTTGTCTCCCACTCTGCAGGCTGAGGAAGGTCAGATATTCTCCCAACTTCCCTTGTCATGTGATCCAGTTTGCCCAGTGAGATGTAGGAGAGGTCTGCTGGTGTGGGGGTGAAGTGGGGGTGCTTCTGGAAAAGTTTTTCCTTCTTATGAAAAAAGAGAGCATAAGAGGAGCATTCACCCCTCTTTGTCCTGGTTTGAGTGAGAACATGAAGTTCGGAACTGTTGCAGCCATCTATGATTCTGAGGCCACAGGCAAACAAGTCAAAAAGCTGCCAAACTAGCCCAGAATCTTCAAAATCTCTTGTTAAGTAAACGAATGTCCTTCAGACTGAAGCTGCCATTTCTTCAGCATTTTCTTCCTTGGAGCTGAAAGTATTCCAGCCACTGCTGTGTTACCCATGCCAGGGAGTCGTTTGGCTATAATCATTTGATGTCACTTTCGCCAATGAGATATGAGGGAGGTCCTGCAATGGGGCTTCAGGGTAAGTTTCTCCTTGTTCTTAAAAAGAGATGTTCTGGAAGAAATAGTCACATCCTGTCTGTATCCCATGCCTCACACCATGACAGCCAACCGGCAGTGAAGATTTCCATTGCCCCAAGAGAGGGAATTTTCATAAGAGCCAGAGCACAATGTGGAGTATTTTTTGGTTTAAATGTAAAAGCCATAATACAGATGTAGGACAAAGAGATTTGGGGGGGGTAAGGCAGAATGAGTATTATTGCCTGGACTGGGCAGTGATCCTTAGGGCTGGGGGAGGGGTTTAGGAGAATCGAAAAAGAGAACAATAGGGTGAAAATGGGCCCTGAGCCAGCCCCAAGCTGTGAGGGGTGGAGAGGATGGATGCAGTTGAATCACAGAATCCCTGGGATGTCTGGGAATCTGAGACAGGTGTTTCCCAGCTCACTCTCAGAACTAGCAAGGTGTGTGAATTATAGAATAGAGATGGCTCTGTAAGGAGATGAGGCACAGAGGGCCCCATGAGGGTGACAAAGAGTTATAGGAAAGCAGCTAAAACTCTTCTGTGCCTCTGGAAGGGTGTGGAGGACCCCCAGCAGCATTGGTGGGTTGTGGGCCACCACCACTGCAGATGCAGTGAGGAGAGTACGTCAGAGACCAGAAGGCAATGTCAGCCTCCCAGTGGATGCTAGTGTGCAGTGGTGACTAAGGCTGAGGCCCAGATGGAACAACAAACATCAATCTTGTGACCAGTAGGGAGAACAGACATTGACTGAGGAGCACTGAGATGCTGCGAGGGTCTGCAGCAACTTAGATGCCACCTTGTGTACATTGGGGGGTAGTAGGGGGGTCAGTGATGAGTTTCATCATCAATTGATCAGTTTCAGTTTCCACCTAAAAGGACTAGGTGGGCCCAGAATTAACTAAGATGATGTTTTCTGTCTCAGATGGAATAGGGCTTGAATCAGACATGAGGTTGGACTGGGCCGGTTCATGTTATGTGCTAAGCTCTGGACTAAAACCAGCCATTTAATTCCCACAACAATCCTATTGAAAAGATATCCTTCTGCACTGTTCTTAGAGAATAAAACTAAGGCTCAGGAAGGAGAAGTCACACGCCTAAAGATTGTCTGTTTTGTAAGTGGCAGAGATGGGATTTGAACTCAGGACTGACTTCAGGGCCTGTGTTCTTTCTGCTATTAATAATACTAATATATGAAGAACATTAGCTAACTTTTACTGAGCTCTTCCCATGTGTCCTGCCTTGTTCTTAGGACTTTACAAGCATCCTCTATTTAAATCTCATACAATCCAACCAGGGAGATTCCATGATGATGCCCATTTTCACAGGTGGGGACACCGAGGCACAGAGAAGGGATGGAATGGCCCATGCTTATGGAGACAGCCTCAGCATAACCGGGCAGTCCGCCCCATGCCCCACATTCTTACCAACTGTGGCAGTTCTCATATGTAACGATGTGACCTTCAGGGACATTCATACATTATTGGGATTCTAGGGTCTCCCTCACCAAACTGAAGGGTGTTTGGGGCAGCAGGGGGTAGGGTGGGAAGATCCTGAGGACTGGGGAAGGGGTGGGGATGGGTGCTGGGTCTCAGCTCACCTCCTCGTGCAGAGTCTCCATCTCAGCCACCAGATGCTGCTGCTCCTTTTCCTGACCAACCCGAGAGAGAGAACAAAGGCTTCTTTTCAGAACTCCTTGCCCCCATATTGCCCTTTTCCCACCCTTAGGAACACAACTCAGACCTGGACCATTGAGGAGCAGGGCTCAGGAATGGGTCTGGGGACCCCTGATGGCTCCCCTTTGTCACAAGAGGGATGGCAAGTAGATCTGGACCCAAAGTCTGGGGTCAGCGGGACCTGGACTGTGGGAGGAAGCCTGGGTGGCCTCTGCCCTCTCCCACTCCACACTCAGGCTCTGTTGTGCAGACTCTGAGAAAGTGGGAGGAAAGAATGCACCTTCACGCCCCTTGCCCCAAACCCACCGTCTGCCGGGCCTGGGCCAGAAGGTTGCGATTCTGTTCCTCCAGGCTCTTGGCCAGAGTCTTCAGATCCTCCAACTCCTCATCCACGGCCTTGGCAAACTGCAGAGCCTGCTGGGTGCTGAGTTGGGGCAGGGCAGGTGGGCCACATGAGACAGAGGAAGACAAGAGACCACAGTGATAGATCCACTCAGAGAGATGGGAGCAGCAAAGAAATCCCAGAGACTCAGAGAAAAGGAAGGAAAGAGACTGAGTATTGGGGACAGAGACCCAGTTTCTGTCTAATAGACTGAGTGGGAGCAAGCCTGGGGCTGCAGGCAGGTGGGACATGGGGGTGAGGGAGGGCGGGCTGGGGCCAGGCACACCTGCGGAGCTGCTTGCGCAGGGCCAAAATCTCCTCCCGGAGGCGTGCAGACCCCTCCTCCGCCGTCTCCACACTGCGCTGCAATTTGGCGTTCTCCCCCACCAGGCGGCGGTTGCTGAGCTCCAAGTCCTCCAGACTGCTCAGCAGGTCAGCTGTGGTGGGCCTGGGGGCAGGGAAGGTCCAGGGTCACTGCCCACAGCCCTGGCCTCCTTTCCCCAGGTCAGGGTAGGTGTTGGTGGAGGGAAGATGCGGCTTTTGGAGAGAAAGAGAAACAGGAGGGAGGCTACTCTGTTCTTCCTGTGCTCTTGGCACAGCCCCTGTCCCTCACCCACTTTCCCGAAGGACCCAGAAGCCCTAGGCCAAGCCCCGGGCCCCAGGCAGGCAGGGAGTCACAGGGCAGGGAGAGGGCAGGAAGGGGACTGAGGATAGGTACAACTCAGGTCTGGGGTCTTCGCCTCCGAAGCTCTCCAGGTTGGCTGGGTCCTCAGCTTCTGGGTATCCTGGAGGGAGACATAGAGGGTGGTGGGCTCCCAGGTGACCTTTGATGTTGGGGCACTCCAGGACTATGGCCTTGGTCCTCCTTTAGCCTCCACCTTCACATTAACTCTGGGTAATCCCACCTGCTCCTTGGGCTGCAATTACATCCACCATCCAGAAAGGACTCCTGCTCATGGGTAACTTGAACTCAGGCTGGATCTCCTCATGGCCCCAACCACCCCACATTCATCATGCCCTACCATGGGCAGCCCCTCAACTACCCCAAACCTGTTTCTCCTCTTAGTACCCCAACTCACCCACCCAGACACTGGGCTGTCCTGACTCCCTCACTCCTCCTGCCTCAGGCCTTGCCTTCTTCCCCGGACAGCCTCCTCTCGGTCTCCTAGCCTCCAGCCTCTCCCTCCTGTCCTTCCCCGCACTTGGCTGCAGAAGGGTCTTTCCTTCTTTGGAGCTGACCTGCCTCTCCCCTGCTCGCAGCCCTCTCTTGGCCCCCAAGCCCAGTTGGAGGAGGATTAAGAGAATGTCAAGAAGGCTGTATTTTTTTGGCTTTTGTTTTGTTTTTGTAAGAGTGGAGAAACACAACATCAACACCTTTTTATGGAGCACCTCCTATGTGTGAAGGCTTTGGGGTAGAATGGTGAGCAAACCAACTAACCAAACAGCGTGGCAGGTAACTAGTCAGATAATCATATTTCTGCAGGAAAGGAATGCAGGTCTGGGTTGAGTGAGCCGAAGAGTAAGGGCCCTTAGCCTGCAGCATCCCAGAGCTTCCCCACCAGGGCTTCCCCACCAGGGGTGTAGGATGAGGAAAGGCCTGGTCGACAGTTTAGGTTGAGAAAACAGCCTGAGCCAAGGCTGGAGATGAGGCAGGTGAGCAGGCAAGGCCAGAGGGACTGCAAATGCAGGGACCAAAGTGCAGGGAGGGGCTGGCTTGAGGACCATGATGGTGATGGTGGGAGGGGCCTTGTAGGCCTCTGTAATGGGGTTGGTATTTGGAGAAGGAGTTGGAAACGACCTGTGAGGAAGAAGAACCAAACTCAAAGCTCAGGGAAGGTAGGGACACAGTCATGGAGAAAAAGCCAAAGCCTAGAAAGCCAAACTCCACAGCTCCACGTTAGAGCAAATGCCTCTGGTGTCCCACCCTACCCTTTGCTCTGCCCCCAGGTGGGAAGTCCCCCCCACTGTCTGACTCTGAGCCTGTGTGCTTCATTCTATATATAGCAATCTCACCAGATGGCAGTTGCTGGGAGGTCAGGGCTCCCTCGAAGGCGGTCTCCTCTTCCAGCTCTAATCCCCTGTATCAAAGGGATGAAGCTTAGAGCCCCCTGCATCCACCACCCTCGTCCTGACCAGCCACTGGCAGAGGGGTTGGGGGTGGCGTAAGGAGGGGCCAGATCAGGTGAGAGCAAGCACCGTGGGGAGGAAGGTGAGGCCAGATGGCAAGTGCCTGGGGCCAGATGGAAAAACAGGAGGGGCAAGGACTGGGTTTGGAGGACGGATGGGGAGGGGCCCTGCTCTCCTCCTTCCAGCCCCTTTTATTTCTGCCCCACAGACTTCCTCTGCCTCCCCATCGTAGGTACTTTACCCTCGGACCCTCTGCCCCTCCCCCAACCCATCTCTTTACTTTTCTTTCCTCATCAGCCTCTTTCCAGCCACAGCAGGTCCCTGTGCCCATAGGGTGCTGGCTGTAGTAAGCAGAAATGAGGTTAGATCTTAGGAAGGGTTTCCTGGGGGAGGGTGGAGGTGCAGGGACTCACCCATCCAGCTGACAGGCAGCAATCCAGTCTCGCATGATGACCAGGAAGGTATCCAAGTCCACGGTGGCCTGAGGGCCTTCCCCATTGGGGTCCAGGCTGCAGGCCAGTGTTTGCAGGCGCGCATCCTGGGGGCCCCGTCCCGTTACAGCCTCCAGATAGGCTAGTACATGGGTCACAGCCACGGTGCCTAGGGATAGAGCATGCTATGAGGGAGACTGGGGCAGGTGAGGGGTGGGGGATGGGGACAGGCGATGTCTTTGAAGTGGGACCACTGGCTGGGCTAGTGGCACCGCTGCACCATGGCCGGCCGGCTGAGACTCCTTGGACAACCCCTTTCCCTTCTTCTCAACTTTTTCACATAGAAATGGGGCCCAGGCATCCCTACCTCAGAGGGTGGACGGAAGAAGACCAGCTGTGCCCTCCCAGGCTCACCGTGGCTGACCTTCTTCCCTCCCCAGGCTCCAAAGCCCCACCTTCCTCTGTTAGTGTCCCCCAAGTTTTCCTCCCCACACTGTCCTTGTCCTGAAAGGCCTCCATCCCCTTAGCTACTTCCTTCCGGAAGCTTCCCACACTCACCCACTTTCACCCTAGCCCATTGCTCTCTCTATGGCTCCCCAGATCCCAGCCCCCAGGCTCCATCTCTTTTTATTCCTTGTCTCTCTGACCTGTCCTTTGGGGATCACAAGCTTCAAATGTGGAGTTGAGTATTTGCTCCTCTAAGCTGAGCAGAGTCCCCAGGCTCCCCTCTTCCGGCTTGTCCCAGAGGTACACTGAGGAGACAAGAGAGCCAGCCCACCCGTGAGGAAGGAGGATGAAGAGAAGTGAACCGGTCCTGGGATCCTGTGGAGGAAGCAGGAAACTTTGGGTGGGGGCACGCAATGTGAGAGTCTTTGAATCACCTCCCCCCTCCCCCCCTGACCTGGGGATGTGAGCCCTATCTTTCAGGCCAGGAAGTGCCCCCTGCTATCTAATCCTTTGTGTGCAAACCACTCAGGAGCCCAGATACCAAGTACAGCCTTTCCTCCTCTCTTCCCCTGCTTCCCAGGCTCGGCTCAGAGGGGGCTAGGGGCGGAGGAGGGCAAAGAAGAGAGGATTCTGGGAGAAGCCGAGGATGAAGGGGGGCCCAGGAGCCAGGAACAATCCGATAATGCGCGGGCAGTGTGGATCGATCTTGCCCGCAACATCTCCGGTCTCCTAGCCCGCCTCGGGGGGCTGGGTCTCTCCTCACATCCTCGAGGCTGGCGTCATCCGAGCCCCGGCTAGGGGCTTGAGACAAAGGGGGGTGGAGCGATCCAGGCAGGGTGGGTGGTGAGGGAGCAGTTAGAAGCTCAGAGCCCAGTTGCATGACTGTGGGCAAGTCTGTTCTCCATTTGTAGCCTCAGTTTCCCCACGAGTAAAATGGGGAAGTGATCCCTCTCCTCAGCGATGGGTTAGGTCTTTGTTTGTGAAGAGCTCTCTCACTCCACACACACACAGTGTGAATATCCTGGGGTCTGTTTGTCCACTGCTGTATCCGTTGTGCCCACACATAACAGGCACTCAATAAATGCTCCAATATACAGGAGCATTTCCCTACCCCAGGAGCCACTGGGCCAGTCAAGCCTCTTTTCTAGGGCTGTAAGTATCTTTGAGGCTCCCTGCCCTGCCCTTGGATAGGTGGGTGTAGCAGTGGACCAAGCACAGGGTCTGGCAGACCCAGGGGACAACCCGGGCAAGGAACTCAGCCTCTCTGAGCCTCAGTTTCTTCCTCTGGAAAATGGGGAGGGAGGGGTGTTTTCCCTCCTAGAGTTGAAATGAGATAAAATCTAGAAAAGCCCAGCAGAGGGCCTGGCATGTGGTAGAAGCTCAATAATAAAACTGAACATTTATTCAGCATTGAAGAGGTGCCAGGCGTCTTTTGAGCATCTTGCATGAACCATGGTGGCTGGTATTATTAGCCCCACTTTATAGATGAGGATACTCAGGCACAGAGAAGATAGGAACTTGCCCAAGGTCACATATTCAACATACAAGTGCCCTTTCTCATTCCTCTAACTCTTCAAGGATTCTTTATAGTGAGCTAAAATTCGGCCCCCTCGGGTTTGAATCCATGCTCTTAGGGAAGGGGAGCAGGAACCTACAACTGGGGGAGACACTCCCCTCACCAAGCATCCCGTGTTATGGGGGAGGGGGGCCCAGCGACGTCTGTCTGGCTCCAGATGTCACGGACTCTGAGGATCTGCATGTATCTACAGTGCAGATGTGACACTGCCTCCCAGGGCCCCTCAGGAAGATGTCACTGTCTCTCTCTGTTCTCTTTCTTTCATTTTCTTCCTCAGTGTCTCTATCTCTCTGTGTGTCTCTGTCCTGTCCCTTCTCTAGTTTTCTCTCTGGCTCTTTCTGTCTTCCTCCCCATCTCTCTGTCCCCTGAGTCCCGCCTCTCTGTCTCCACGTCTGTGGCTTTTCTTCCTGGTCTCTGCTTCTCTGTGCTTCTTTTCCCGTGTCTCTGCAACTCTCTGTTCCCCGAGCCTTCTCTCTCCTTCTGCTGTCTCTCTGTCTCTTTTCACCCGCTGCCTTCCTTGGTCTCCATCTCTCTTGGGTGTGCCCCTCCCTTCCTTTCGTGAGCCTCCCAAAGCTGGCTCAGCCCTTGCCCATGGGTTCCTCGGTGGCCGCGCGCCCTCTGCTGGTGCAGATGAAGTTTAGATGTTGGTCACTCGGTCCCACTGCCCTGACTTCCCAAACCCGGGTGTTGGCCTCCTACCTTCCTATCTGGAGAGACTTCTGAGGCCAGCGTCCAGGTCTGCAGCCTTGAGAAAAGATGCAGGCTCTGCTGCTGGACGCTAGGAGGCTCTAAGGAAAGGGCCCTGCCTCTCCTCTAGGCTGGGATCCTCCTCCCCATCAGATCGGGCTCTCTCCCTTAACAGGTGAGCTTCAGAAAGGGCAACCCAGCGTCTTCCTCCTGAAGCTGTTTTTGCACCCATATTGTCTGCATCCATCCAATCATTCAGGGACTTAGTGATTAGATTCCTATTACATGCCAGGCATTATTCTAGGACAGCTTAACCAACAGGGCAGACACTGGCCACAGTTGTTCTTGAGACCTGAACAGTATAGAGTGTGAATTGAGATGCTCTATGAGTGTAAAGTACACACCAGATTTCGAAGACTTAGTATGAAAAAAAGAGAATAACTCCAATATATTTATACTATTTTGGGTATATTGGGTTAAATAAGAGCTATGATTGCCATTCATTTGTCTGTTTCTTTTTTCTTTTAATGTGGCTACTAACAGAATTTACAATTATGTCTATGGTTCGCACGTTGGTCAGTGCTGCTCTAGGGACAGGGAATAGCAGAGTGAATAAAACCGAGCCTGTCTTATGGAGCTCATGTTCTAGTGAGAGAGACGGAGTCTAAAGAGGCAGACAGTACATGTTAGTGCTATGAAGAAAAGTAAAGTGGGAAAGGGGAGAGAGGGCGACAGGGCAGCTGCTTGATAGAAAGCAGAGATCTGAGTGAAGTGAGGGGTGATGCTGCTAGTCCCTGGAGAAGGGCACTCCAGGCAGGGGACACGGTGCACACAGAGGCTTCTACTCTCCCAGTCTGGCCTCCCCAGAGCAAATGAGATCAGGTGTCCCGGCAGGTGGGCACACAGCAGGAACTTAATCAATGATCGCTCCCTCGCTCCCACTCTGCATCAAAGTGGAGGCTCTGCTACCCCTAGCCACCTCTCCTAAGTCCCCGAGTCACAGCCTGGTGCCTCATACGCCCTCTGCTCCCTCCTTATCCTCCCGCTGGACAAACAGGGAACCAACCACTTACTTTTTGTAGCCGGACCACCCGCCTGGGCCTCTGGCAGGTCCATGGGCCACCCCTGCTGCTCTGCAGCTGCTGACGAAACTAACAGCCTCTCTCCATCACTGGGAGAGACTGAAAAAGGACTGGTTCCTGGAAGGACAGACAGGGAAATGGCCTCTGCAGACCAGCCACTGCGCTGCCCCACCTGTGCCCCAGGCCACTCTGGGTTCTCAGAACCTGTTTGCCCACCCCTGCCTGGACCAGAGCAGCTCCCGCTCAGACCTGTTTTATGGATTGGAGGTGGGGGCTGGGAAAATGGGGGCCCAAGGAGTAGGCAGAAGAGATCAAAGTAGGGCTGGTGGGTGGGGGTCACTGCCTCCTGCCATCCCTCCTCCTGTTTATGAAGTTCCCCAGCCCTGTCCCTCCTACGCTGTCCCCTCCTCTCCTTCCCTAAGGCCTAGATCAGGCTTCAGCCTCTCCCCCTGGGCCCTCGCCCCAGCCTCCTCTTCAGCCTCCTGGCCCCAGTCTGTCCTCACAGGGCCTCAGAGCTGACCTGCCCCCCTTGCTCAGTGTTGTTCCATGGCTCCCCAGCACTCTGGGCAAAAAGCCTTGACCTTGGACTTCATATCTAAGGCTCTGCACGGCCTGGGTCCACCTGCCTCCCCAACTCCAAATCCCACTTGCTGCTTCAGCCACTCTAAACTACATGCTGTTCCCCAAACTGGGCTGGCTGTTTCCACCTCCCGGTCTCTGGCCGGGACACCTTCCTCCCCAGCCCTTCGTGTCTTAGCTCACATATCCCCTCCTCTGGAAAACATTTCTGAACGAGATGCTGTTTCTGGGGTCCCAAACCGCCCTTAGCTACTGACATTCTCGCTGCGTCCATCTGTATTTGGAGCTGTTAGCCTCCCTGGCGAGCCTCCTCTATCTCTCTCCTGCTCCCAGCCCTCCCATGGCTACCTAGTGTCCTCAGGACTAAGTCTCAGCCCCTCAGGCTGGCGTGGCACAGAGTGGTCCTTTCAACTTCTGGCTTCTTTTTTGTCACTTTTCGCTCCACCCTGCTGACCTCCAGGTCCCTCACTCTCATCACGGCTTATGGGGACTCAGCATCTGCCCATGGTCCTCCCCAGCCCAGGTCACACCGCAGGCCCCCTCGTCCCCCGTCACCAGAGCAGTTAGGGACTCCCTCCTCTGTGCCCTGACAATGCCCTGTCCTGCCTCTGTTACAATCAGCTTGACCACACGACTTTTGGGCTCAACTCCAGGACACTTTCCAGACTGAAAAGGGCACTCTTAAAAATGACAACAGACAACAGTGATCTTCAGGCTGAACGGGGCACACTGGGGCAAATGTTCAACATAGGGTTGCCTGGGGCCTGTCTGTCCTCACCCCACCCACTCAGCCCCTTCACTCACCAAGGACTCCCCACACCCTGCTCTCCGTGGCTCCAGTTGTGGAATATACTCTTCCTGGCAGCTTTTAGAAGGTTCTAGAAAAAGGGGTCTTTAAAGAGAGACTCTTCCAGGGTGTGGACAAGGATGGAGGATGCACAATTAGGCTGAGTAGGGAAGGGTGTCTGTGAGCGAGGATGCTGACAGGCACTGGGAGCCTCTGACAAGGTTTGAGGGATAAACTCTTGGTAAGGGACCGAGGGAGGCCCTGGTGGACCTCAGGAGTCTTTGGGAGATTCTAGCAGGAGGAGGACTCAGGCAGGAATTCTGGGGACTTTAAGGGGGTCTCTGACTGGATTTCTGGGGAGTCTCTTGATTTCTGAGGGGGCGTCTCTGACAGGATTTTGGAGAATCTGACAGGAGTTTTGGTGGGTTTGACAAGATTTCTGAGGCTCTTTGGCAGAACTTTTGGGGGCCTCTGACAGGATCTGGGTAGGGAGTGAAACGGGATTTCAGAGAGGGAGGCTCTGAGGGTGAAGTCTGATAGGACTTCTGAAAGATTCTGACCAGATTTCAGGGGTCACCTATTAAGATTTCCTAGGGGCTTCCTTTCAGTATTTCTGAGGAGATTTGGTTAGGATTTCAAAAAGATTTCAAGACTTGGAAGGCTCTGACACTGGGGACTCTCTTCTATGATTTGGGGGCTTTGCCAGGATTTCGGGAGGGGCTCTGACACGGCTACTCCGGGGAACCTCGCCACGGCCAACGCGCACCTGCGGTCACGTCCCAGGCTCTGGACACAGCTGAGGGCCACGAAGGAAAAACGGCAGTTGCGTCGTGAGGAGATTAGCGTGCGCTCTTCCCGCCAGAAAACGCAAAGAGCGCGGAGCGGGACCGAGGGCTCGCGCAGCGTCTAAACCACCTGGGCTCCACGCCCGACGCAGGCGCACTCAGGGGCAAGGCGCGCGCTGGGCTAGTCGGTTACGGGCAACAGCGAGGCCGCGCATGCGTAGGGCTGCCCCGGCGCGCGCCCAGCCTGGTGGAGCGGGCGCATGCGTATTGTTCTAGCGGGCGAAGACTGAAAAGGTTACAGCTAGGAGGGCAGGGCGGGACGGCTTCGTCTTCTTTGCCTTCTCAAGCTTCTGTGAAACGGGCCCAAGCAAGGGAGAGTTGGACTAAGGGACCTATTGTCTATCCCCCACTTCTTATCAGCCACAAAGCCGTGCCCTTTTTGCCCTCTGTTCCCTGCCGGGCTGCCGGTCACCGTCACAATGATGTCCTGTCCTGTCCTGTCCTGCCCTGTCCTGCCCTGTCCTGCCTTGCCACTCCCGTACCTATTTCCAGTCACCTTGTATTAACAGGTCTCCTGAGGATTCTTTCCAAAACCGTTTTATTCATTCTTTTTAGGAGAGACTGGAGGAAAAATAGCCTCAGATTTCCAACTAGAGAGAGGAAGAGAATTACATCCCAAATTGACTCCAAAGGAGAGGCATTTGGGATAAAAGATGTCCCACCCACTTGGCGTCTTTGCTAGCCCCGACACAGAAAAAGAATCCTTTTGCATTCTCTGGTACATCCCACCAGCATTCATTTAGCTGTTACTTCCTCAGAGAGGCCCTCTCCTGATGCACTGTCTCTCTCTGTGCTTACGGTTTTAGTGGTCATCGTGACAGTCTCACCACGTGACATATTCTGTATTTGTGTACTGTCTGTCACCCCTCACTGGAATGTGAGTTCTTAGCAGTAAGAGGCTATTTGAGAACTAGAACGTGTCTGGCCCAATATGGGAGCTCAAAAAATTTTTTTGAATGAATGAATGAAGGGACAGAATCCATTCCTCTTAACTACTGGGCAGTGTAGAGTGATAATAAGGCTGTAGTCAGACTTTCTTGAGTTTGAATTTTGGCTCTATCACTTCCTACCTATAACCTTGGCACAATGGCTTACCCTCTCTGAGCCTCAGTTTTCCTCCCAGAAATGGAGATAACAATTGCTTCTAAGGTTACCTTGAGGACTTAAGGCGGTAATCCTTGTTAATTGATAGTTATTATTTTGGCTATTAGATGGTGGCTTATTATAAGACCTGGGGAAGAACCTGTTCGGCAGGTGATGTGGTGAGTGGTGAAGTGTGAGACATGGAATCAGACAAATCTAGTGCCATTGCTGTGTGACTCTGGCAAGTGATTTCACCTCTCTGAAGCTCAGCTTCTTTTCTAAAATGGAAACAAATTATATCCACCTCATGGGGTCTTATGAGAGTTCAATAAGAATATTTGCCAAGTGTTTTCTTAGTACAGGCTGGTAAGTGGTGGACCCTGCTAGCTTGATTAGTATACTTTCATTTTATTTTTTCAGTATTTCTTGTTTCTTCTCCTTCTTCTCCTTCTTCTTCTTCAGATCAAGGTAGTTCTGTAAAATGTGAAACAATTTTTTAAATTAAAAAAATTAGAACAATTTTATAATACAGCTATAATGTACATAGAGTGCTAAATCTCAAATTACAGCTCAATTAAATTTTGATAGAGTAATAAATTAATGGAACCACTCATATAAGAAAACAGTGTTTCCTGCAGCCCAGAAATCTTCACACCTCCTCCTCCTCGTTACCCTTCAAAGGTGACAACTTTTCATTATGACTTCATTTCCTCAACTTTATGAGATTCATTATATAGCAGTAGGTCATTCATTTCACTACTGTGTAATGTACCATTGTATGTATATGTCACAATTGAACCATTTTACTCTTTAAGAAAATTTTCTGTTATTGAAGTATAGTTGGTTTACAATGTTGTGTTAGTTTTTGGTGTACAGCATATTGATTCAGACATATATATACTATATACTGCTATATAGTAGGCCCTCATTGTTTATTGATTTTATATCTAGTAGTTTGTATCTGCTGATTCCATACTCCTAATTTATCCCTCTCCCACCCTTTCCCCTTTGGTAACCATATGTTTTTTATGTCTGTGAGTCTGTTTCTGTTTTATAAGTTCATTTGTATCATTTTAGATTCTACATGTAAGTGATATCATATGGTATTTGTCTTTCTCCTTCTGACTTCATTTAGTATGATAATCTCTAGGACCATCCATGTTGCTGCAGATGGCATTGGGTTTTTTCTTTTTTATGGCTGAGTAGTATTTCAATCCCAGGGGACTTGATTCTGCCAATAACCTGAGTGATCTTGGAAGCAGTCTTCCCAGAGCCTCCAGGTAAGAACCCTGCCGGCCTTGTGAGACCTGCTCAGAGTACCAGCCAAGCCATCCTGGATTTCTGACCTACAGATCAGTGGAGAGAATACATTTGCATTGTTTTAAGTTGCTATGTTTGTGGTTGTTTGTTGTGCAATAGGCACTAATGTTGCAGTAATGAGAAACAAATGCAGAGGCAGAGTGGAAGGGCAGAACCGGAGTGAAAGAGTTGGAAGTGGGAGGGCAGACAGAGCTGGAGGTGACACGGCTGGGGTCTGAGGGTTTGGATGGGGCTGGAGGTGACAGAGTTGTTCAGTCAGAAGACAGACAGCATTTGAATGAGAAAACTGAGCCTGGAGACCTAGAATTTCAGCCAGATGGCACGCTCCAGGCTAGGGTTAGGGGGACTCTCTATGGCTTGAGGCTTGGGGACAAATCCCAAAAGGAGACAGTGCTGCCAGATCTAAGAAAATGTTTAATTTCCATATGGTGATAGGGGTAGGGTCTAGCGGGGGATGCATGCAGGTATTCCCCCCTCCCCTCCCCTATAGCTGCTGGGAGGGCCTGAGGATATACAGGAAGTGGGTCTTGCGGGCACGCAGCTTGGCGTGAGAGGAACTCTGGGTCCCCTCTTCAAGGCCGTCCTTGCGAGTCCCCTCTCGGAGCCCATCCCGGATGGCCTGCAGGCGGTGTCGCTTCTCACTGAGCCATTGGCCGCTCTCCTGGGCATCCTGGTGGGACCTCCGCCGTGGCAGCTTCATGATCCAAAAGGCCACTCGGCGGGGATGGAGTTCTGGGTGGGAGTTGTCCATCACCTTTGGGATGGGCACCTGGGCTTCCTTCTCCTCTATCTTGGGTACCTGGCAAAGAGGGACAAAGAGACTTTTTCAAACTCCAAATGACAGCCTCAGGATGTGCAAACTCCCCTGGCATAGTCAAGCCACTTTTCCACCTATGGGATGGTTTGGGAATGAAATCTCACTTTGCAGTATATAAAGCACTTGGGTTTATAAGTGCTTGAGAATTAAAAATACTCTGAGGTTTATAGATTATGCTGGGATTGAAAACACATTTTGGAGGTTTCGAAAGCACTTTAGGATTAAGCATCCTCTGAGGTTTAGAAAGCAGTTTGAAATGTACAAAGCATTTTGGGATTAAAAGCTCTTGGCTTAATAAAGAATCAGGACCACAATTGCAACATGGGATATCCCTGATTGAGTCCTGGATCAAAAATCAAATCAGCTCTTATGAACAGCTTTGGGTCCAGCAGGGACATTTGAATGTTGAGTGAATGTTTATTCGGTCCTTGCTACTCAAAGTGAAGGCTGCAGACCAGCAAGAGGAGTATCATTTGGGAGTTTGTTAGACATGCAAATGAGCGGGCCCCACCCCATCCAGACCCACTGAATCAGACTTTGCATTTCAGTAAACTGAGGATTGGGAAGCCCTATAGGAGATAGTTATGGGTCGAATTGTGTTTCCCCTGCCCTCCAATTCATATGTTGACATCCTAATCCCCAGTAACTCAGAATATGATCTCATTTGGAAATAAGGTCATTGTAGTTTTCGTTAAGATGACATCATTAGACTGTGTCCTAATCCAATATAACTGTTGTCCTTATTATGCAAAAGGGAAATTTGGACATAGACAGGCACAGAGGGAGAACCCCATTCCAAGATGAAGGCAGAGATGGGGATGATGCATCTCCACGCCAAGGAACGCCAAAGATTATCAGCAAACCACCAGAAGCTAGGGGAGAGCCATGGAACAGATTCTCCACCACAGCCCTCAGAAGGCACCAGCCCTGGTGACATCTTGATCTTGGGGACATCTAGCCTCCAGAACTGCGAGACAATCCATTTTGTTGTTCAAGCCCCACATCCCCATCTGTGGTACTTTCTTATGGCAGCCCTAGCAAATTAATACAAAGAAAATAGTTTGCTATCAATGGTAAATTTCTTAGGTGTAAAAATGGCACTGTAGTCATGCAGAACATTGCTTTATTCTTAGAAGGTATCTGCTGAAGGACTTAGCGGTGAACGGTCATGTTGTCAATAATTTACTGTTGTATGGTTCAAAAAGAAAAAAGTAAAAATAAAGTCAGTCCGGTAAAATGTTAACTAGTGGTGAATCCAGGCTAGTGGTTCTCAACAAAAGTCTGAGACATTTTTGGTTGTCACAACTGGTCGGGGTGGGGTGCTACTTCCGGCTAGTGGGTAGAGGCAGTGATGCTGCTAAACATCCTATAGTTCACAGGACCACCCCCACAGCAAAAATCACCCAGCCCCAAATGCCAGTGGTGCTGATGTTGACGAGCCCTGCTCAGTAGAAAAGGGGATACAGATTAATTGTACTGTTATTTTCAACTTTTCTGTAGATTTGAAACTTTGAAAATAAAACACTGGGAGTGTGTGCAGGAGAACTATGTGGGTTTGCCAAGCACTTGGGTATTCTTAAAACTTTTTAGGATCAAAAAATAAGCACTTTGAGTAGGGGAGGTTATAGCTCAGTGGTAGAGCACATGCTTAGCATGCATGGGGTCCTGGGTTCAGTCCCCAGAACCTCCACTATAAAAACACAACCTAAGTACCCCCCCCCAAATAAAATAAAAAATGAACATTTTCTTACTGGAATCACTCTTAGAGGTTTACAAAGGTAAGATACTCAAAGCATTTGGAGTTTAGAAAACACTTAGGAATCACCTCTTGAAGTTTACAAAGGAAAGATTTACCAAGCACTTTGGGACAGATTGAAAAACATTTGGAGGTTTGCTGAGTTCTTTGAGATAAAAACACACTTTGAGGTTTGCAAGAGTGAATCTTATCAAGCACTTGGAATTAAAAGCACTGTTTGGTTTACAAAACCCCCTGGGGTTTACTAAGCAAGTGAGGATGTACTCATTTCTGAGAGCTGGTCAGTCCGTTTTGACAGATGACAAAACTGAGGCCCAGAGAGAGGAAGTCCAGCACAGAGGGAATGGGAGAGTCATGTCATCTTTTCCTTGTAAACTACAGAAAATGTTTGGGCTTGGACACTTTGTGCAGGGGGCATGACCTAACCTTCCAGTCACCCTCCAAGCTCCCCTTTTCTGGCTGGATGGATGCCACCACCTTCTCTGAGATCAGCACCTCTCCTGTCTTGTTGTCAGTCACCTGTGAGGACAGGAGGAGAGAGTGAGGACAATATTGCTTTCCTCCATTACCTTCCTCCTGACAGATATTGCAGCATGAGGGATCATGGGGGAGACTCCGGGAGAAACTTCCTGGCACAGGCACCTTGTCTATCTGGAGGTGGCTGGAGAGAGTATTGCTCCCCAGCTGACGCTCCTGTTTCTCTTCTTGGTGGTAGTTCCTGGGGAGGCCCCGGACGTCAACAGGGGGAGAGAAGAAGCTATCCATACCCCGAAGCAGGTCATCCTGGGGTGGGAAGACGAATCGGTGAGCTACTCGACTTCCTGACTCCCCAGGGCATATGCAGCCTTGTCAGGATGCCCTTCCCTCTCCATCCTCTGACCCTTAGGGCCTAACCAGGTCACCCCCTGCCTCCATCTGTCCTGTCTCTATGTCTCACTAGTTTCCCATTCCTGTCCCTCATCAGTCTTCTGTCTCTGTCCCCATCCCCCCTCCTCCTATCTCTCTCCACTTCTCATCTCTGTTCCACCTCCTCCTCTGCTTGTCTCCATCCTTCTCTTCCTATCTCTCCATCTCCCTGTTGCACTCACTCTGTCCTTTGACTCCCTCTCTTCCTGTCTGTCCTTCTGCCTGGCTGCATGCAACCCATCTCCTACTCTGTCTCCCTGAACCCCCTCTACCCTTTGGTTACCATCTACCCCTGTTCCTCTTCTTTGTAAGTCTTCTGCCCCCCAAACCCGTGCTGTCACTCACTTTCAGGAAAAGCCGGGTGAAACCTTGGAGTAGACTCTGGAGGCCTAGAAAACCCGAGGAACTCTCCTGGGCGTCAGCACCGCGGATCGAGGCTGCAGTACAGGGGGGCACCGAAGCAGAGGGGAGCAGCAGCAGCAGGACCAGCGGGTGCCACATTGCGGGGCTGGCTGGGAGGCTGTAGCAAGATTAAGGGTGAGAGCCCTCCACCCCCTAAGTGCCCACATCCCCATCCTAGACCACGACCCCTTCCTACCCCCAGAAACTCCTCATACACCCCCACCATTCCCCTTTCCTTTCTACTCCAACTCCCTCCATCATGTTAGGCCCCGCCCCTCCTCCCAGGCTCGGCTCTTCTGGGCTCGGTCTCATACATGGATCTTACTCCTCTCCTTCGCCCACATTCATATTCAGATCTCATTCCTCCTCACCTTCTCCCACGACCCGCCTCTTATTTTGGGCCCCGCCTTTATGCTAGACCACAGGCCGGTCACCGTACTCTCAGACTCCGGCCGTCCACGGACTGTTAAATCCAAACAGTTCTGGTCTCGAGCACAGGCGGGACACCTGGAGCGTTGGAAGAGCTCGCGAGCCCTACACTCGCCCCTACTGTCTGACCACGCCCCCATCTGCTGACTTCACCCACGAGCCGGGCCCTCTATTGGATAGTCAGGCCCTTAAGGGAAGAGCCACGCTCCTTAAACCAGAGCCTGGCGTTCATTTCAAGTTCACACCCTCATCGTCAGGCCACGCCCCTGTCGGTTGACCTCGGCCCTGGAGACCCAGGTTGCCCATATTCTCTGATCATGACCATTGTGCCCGAGCCTCGCTCCAATAGCAGGTGGTCCCGCCCCTCACTTAGAGCCACGCCCCTGCACCTAGGCCACGCCTCTGTGCCCCAGATCTTTCCCCCAGTGCCCTCAGTTCCATTCCTAGGCTCTTTCTGGTCTTGAAATACCCGAATCCGAACTGTCTTTCTGATTTGCTCATTGTTTAGTTTTGTATCTATCTCTCAGAGTTTCTCCCTGTCGCTTCTCGTTTTCCCTGGGTTTTGAAAAGATTAATGCGCTCAACAGAAGACAACATAAGGACGCTGAACCCCGAGTCCTCTTTGGTTCCACTGGAAAGCTCTGCCCTCTCAGGAAACCTTACATCGAGTCCTGTGGAACCCAGATTCCGGGCTCTCTTCTTCCTCAGGACCCCAGGCCCTCTAGTCCGTGAGTTTGAACATTCAACTCCTCATCTTTAAGAAACCCCTCATCTTTAAGGGACATCTTTTAAGGGACCCTCATCTCTCTCCTGAGGCACCCAGGCTCTCTCCTGGTCCTGGGACAGCCGCCACCTCTAGTCCAATAGTGTGAGTGGATGCGGGAGTCTCCACCTATATTTCCAATATTGGAAAATTGGGAATTTTCAATAAACTCCCAGTCGTCTTGCCCACAACCCTTAACCCTGATGAGGTCACAAGGAAACCAATCAATGAAAAGAAATCAATGGAAATCTGTCAAAAACCCATCCTGACCGATACCTCAACCATAAAAAATATACTTGAGGCTGAACAGGAAAGATTCTTTTGTGTTCCTAGCAATTTCTTCCACATCTCCAACACATGAACTACACCAGAGGGTAGCCAGGAGTCCAGGCCCCTAGACCCTTCCTCCTCCAGACTCAGGAACTACGGCCCCCAGTCTCCTCCTCCTTCAGACGTAGGTTTCCTGTCCCCTATTAATCCTCCCTGAGACCCAAGAGTCCAGAACCCCAATTCCCCTCCTCTCTCCGGGATCCAAGCATCAGAATCCCGAAGTTCTTACAGGGCCCAGTTAGACTTCACCTCTCTTTTAGCAAAGCAAAAATCCTCCCCTAAGCTGTCACCGTCGGATCCCCATTCCCGCTGTCCGGCGCCCGGACCCGCCCCCCCCTCCAGTCCCTCCCACTTTTCCCAAACAAAGCTCCCGGGCAACTTTCTCCCTCGCTGCGCCCCGCCCGCCCGCGGCTCCCCAGCCCCAGGCCGGGAGGTAGGAAGGCGCCGGCGGGAGTCGGGGATCCTGCTTTGGGTTGTGTGAGTTGGGGTGGGAAGTTATGTGTTATGAGTTGAGGTGTTTGTGGGACCATCTCTGAATTGCTGGCCGCCCTCTTTTTGGCGGGGGGAGGGGGGCAGAGGGGCCGACTTTGCAGCTCGTGACCGAGTCTAAGTGTGGAGTTGGAACTTTCGCCAGAGTTAGGGTGTGTGTTGATGGGCCTGAGTTAACGAGTGTGCTCCTGGGAGTGGGTGAGGGCTGAGGGCTCTGGTGGGTGTGGGTGTGGGGGGTCTGAGTGTCTGTGGAGGTGTCGGTTTCGAGTGAGAACGAGCCCCATGCTTGTTTCTGACCGAATTGATTTGTGTGTGTCATTTGTGTGCGCCGGGTCCCCTTTAGGAAAAAGGAGGCCTCCTGGGTGGCCAAAGATGGGCTACGGTGCTTTCTAGATCTTCAGTCTAGTCTCTTCGGAGGTTTGAGGCCTGGGGCGCGAAATTAGTGGGGACCTTTCTGACTCGGCTCCTCCGTCCCTTTGTCTGGCCACATGGGGGAGAGCTGGGCTGGGATTTTGGCCTACGGGGGTCTTGAACGCCGCACCGCCACTGGGCTTGGCCTGGGGTCTTTGTCTCCGCCGGGGCTCCGGGGTCCGAGGGAGGAGGGGGATGGGAGCCGGGACTCTGGGGTCCTGGGAAAGCTGTGGAAGACGGGGAGCCGCCAGGGAGGCGGGGTCTGACTGTATTGGAAAAAGTTTTCCCCTGTTCCCGGCCTCCGGAAAGTCACTGGGAACTTGAGTTGGATCCAAGCCCATGTCCGGGATGGGGGGGGAGGGGCGGGGGGAGGGGCGGGGCGGGCCTGGGGGCTGAAGGGGAGGTGCCCTTGCCTGCCAGCCCCTCCCCTGATGGGGGTTGTGGGAAACTGGGGGAGGGGACGCCTGGGCCCTTTGTTCTGGCTCTCCCGAAGGCAGGGCGCCCCTGCCTCTGAGTCTGTGGTTCTGTGGGTCTTTCCTGGACTTGGCTTGAGTTTCTGCCTTGAGTCTCTGTCCCTCTCTCTCTGGGTGTCTGTCCCCTTCTCTCTGGATCTCTGGTCCCCCTCCCTCTGGGTGTGGATCCCCCAACACTGGGTCTGTGTTCCCCTCTCTCTGAGACACTGTCCCCCCCACCCCGAGTCTCTATCACCCTCTCCCTGGATCTCCCCTCAGCCTTACAAGGGCCTGTGCCCCTCCTTTTCTAGCAGCTGCTACTCACATCCCAGCACCTGTTCTTGGGGTGGGACTGAGACGATCTCACCCACACCTCCCTCCCTGCAGCTAGGCCCTGACTCCTGTCTTCTTTAAACCAGTAATCCATACCCAAAGTTGCAGCCTTCCTGGGCCCTGGGCTTTATTCTGGGGTCTCCAAGACTTCATTACAACCCAGGCTTCCCTGAAAACACAGAGGAGAACACTCTCACTGGACGCTTCCCCAGAAATCCAGCCTTTTTCTCTTCCAGGACCTAGGAGTCCTGGCCCCCAGTCTCCTGTTTCCCTTAGACCCAGGACTTCAGCCCCCTCCTTTCTCAGATTCAGGGATCCAGGTTCCCTCAGCGTCCTCCCTCGGACCCAGAAGTCTGGATTCCCAGCCCTCCCCGCCCTCTGGGTGGGTGAGGGGAACCTTGCTGAACTCTGTGTTCCTACAGGCCCAGATGGGGGAACCCCGAGCTGGGGCCCCCCTGGACGATGGCAGCGGCTGGACAGGAAGTGAGGAAGGAAGTGAGGAGGGAACTGGCGGCAGTGAGGGGGCTGGGGGAGACGGGGGCCCAGACGCAGAGGGTGTCTGGAGTCCAGACATTGAGCAAAGTTTCCAGGAGGCCCTGGCCATCTACCCACCCTGCGGCCGGCGGAAAATCATCCTGTCTGATGAAGGCAAGATGTATGGTGAGTCCATCCCTCTTTTTTGACTTGGCCCCAATGGTTAATAAAAATATTAAGCAACATTTGTGGCACTTTAAACACCATTCACATAAAAGCACATTGTATTCTCACAATGACTCAAGTAGAGCTAAAATCACCATTTACACAGAAGAGGCACCAAGAACCAGCAAGGCTAAGTGACTTGCCTGAGGCCACACAGAGCTAGTGTGTGGCAAAACGAGGATTTGAACCCAGGCAGCCTGGCTCCAAAGTCTGTAGTCCTAACTCCTGGCTGAGGACCTCTAGGAACTGTTGGTTCTCCTTCCCTGATGTACTCTCTGTTGGGAAGTTCTCTTGAATGTCTAACTCTGCTCCATCTTTGATTCTTCAGGGCGGAATGAGCTGATTGCCCGCTACATCAAGCTGAGAACGGGGAAGACCCGGACTCGCAAACAGGTCTCAGGACTGACTTGTGGGCGTCTGTCTGGGGTGGGCTTGTATTCTCGGGGCTGTCCTATGGTCAGGTTCAAGTTTGAGGAGGAACTTGTTTAGGTGCATTTGTCTGTCCTCTTGGCACCTCTGTTGATGTGCTCTAACTGTGCCTATTTTGGTGTTAGCTGTTGCATTAGAACCAGAGGGTAAGACAGACCGAATGAGTGAAAGAATGTAGGATGGGGATGGGGAATAAAACCTGGATTTGCTGAGTCTGGGGAAGATTAGTAGTGTTAGTGAGAAAAGAAGTTGTGGCACCTCTGTGTTCTAATGATCCGAGACAGCTGGCCCTGTCTGTGTGTTTGTCATCTTTCATGTTTTGGCAGCTCTCTGGGGCGCTTGGAGGGAGGGAAGGGGTAGGGGACTCAAGGGGTGAGTGGCTGTGGCCTGAATCTGCTTCCCTGTCACTCCCTTCAGGTCTCTAGTCATATCCAGGTTTTGGCCCGAAGGAAATCGAGGGAAATCCAGTCCAAGCTCAAGGTAGGGACCGTGGCAGACACCCTGAGAGGGAGGCAGAGACCCTCAGAGAGGGGGACAGGGACCCAGAGAGAGAGGGACAGAGACCTGGATAGAGAGGACAGAGACTCAGAGAGAGAGGGCTGCAGAGATCCAGAGAAAGGGGGACAGAGGGACTCAGGGTAGGGACAGAGATCCAGAGATGGGGACAGTGAGTCACACAGAGAGGTAGACAGAGTTGGGGAGCAGGGACCCAAGGTGGGGGTTGCAAGTGGCCTAGCAAGGGTGGAGGATAGGGACCCCAGGTAGGAAGAGTTTCACAGAGCGAGGTGAATGGAGATTCAGCTTAGGACAGGTGAGAAGGATGGGGCATTGGGCCTCTTACCTGGCTACTGCTGTCTTCGCCCTCCCTCTCCTCTCCTCTCCCCTTCCTGGTGTCCTCATTGCCTTTTCCCTCTTGTGCTGGGAGGATCTCCTCTTTGTCTCCTGGCTCATCTTCCCACTTCCCGGTCTGCACGGGGCCCGCCTACACTTTCTGTGCCCAGGAATCTTCATTTCCTTTTTGGAAATTTTCATATCCCTTTTCTTTCTTTTTTTTTTTTCTTCATCGTCTGGATTTCCTCTTCCTTCTTGGCCTGAGACTCTCATTTTCTACTCCTCTGAGGGTGGGGTCTTTTCTGCCTCGTCCCCACCACTTGGGGACCACCACTTCATGTCCTTTTTGTACCCGGAAGCCTCCCCTTCCTTTTTCTTTAAGGCTGAAAACCTTCACTTCCGGTCTTTGGTCTTTTCTGGACCTCGCTGT